GATACCCTCCTAACTAGTTTCTCTGGCTCCTGTGGTCCCTCTACAGTCTTGATTTACCAGCAGCCAGTGTGATATTTTCCCAAAATAAAGGAATGTCCTTTCCTCTGCTCAAAACCTCCCAAATCTTTCTGTATCTTTTGGACTAAAATCCAGTGTCACTGTCATGCCTTGCAAGAAATACACGCTCCCTATGATCTGCCCCTGCTACCTCCCATCGCCTTTGACACTCTTGTTTGGTACTTCTGCTCCAGCTGTAGAGATAACCCTTTAACTCCTAAAATATACCAAAAGCAATTCAGTCAAGCCCTTTACATGTGCCAGTGCATCTACCCACAGTTGCTTCCCAAATATCCACATGACAGATTCTCTTACTTCGAGTTTCTGCTGAAAAATCACCTTCTCAGAGAGAGCTTCTGTGACTCTCTTTTCTCCTAGAGACCCCCATTCCTCTCTATCTTTTTACTCTGTTTTAGTTTTCTCCTTGGTACTAACCACCTTCTAGTATGCTATAGGTTTTACGTTCACTTGTTTTAATGCCTGTCCCTGTTGTCTAGAATGTAGGCTCTGTGAGAGAAGGGTCTTTGTATTCCTGTCTGCTGTAATTCCAGTGCCTACAAAAATATAGAAAATATATTCAATTAATATCTGATGAATGAATGAATGGATTCTATCTTGTCAAACAGCATGGACAATGTGTATGCCTTTGGGGGGAAATAATTTATATGTAGTAGACGTCATTCTTAGAAATCTATTTTCTACTCGATAATCCTCAATTATCTGAAGACTCAGAGTTATATGGTAGTAGTGGTTTGACAGGTGCAGTAATCAGAAATCAATAACCCAAGAATATGTACATTTAAAAAACTGGCAACAAGTTAAAGCATAACTCTTGACCGCAAAGGATGATTTCTACCTAACTTCTGCTCTCTTTACATATAGGTAGAGTATTTCACCCTTATCATTTGAGTTTGTATCGTTAACAATTTACATGTTGAAGCTTGGAAAAGTCAAAATCATTTGAAAAAAGTTTAAATTGATAACTGGAAGAATCAAAGATGGTTCATAGTGATCTTCCTAGAGAGTTGGTCATGTCAGATAATTTTCAGCGATAGAAAACTGTACACCATGAAGCTATCCATTTTGGTTTTGGCTAAACTTTCCTCATGTTAAATGAATCTACATCTAGGTAATTTATATATATTGGGCTTAGTATTTGAAATGCACAGACAAAAGAATGAACTAAAAAGACATAGAAGAATGAAAAAAAAATGCTGCAGAAAATGAAACTTTTCTACTGGAACATTCCAATCTTTCAAGTTGAATTGTACCTAGAATTCGATATTTATCTGAAGTCCGGGCATGATGATGTGTACCTGTAGTACTAGGGAGGCTGATGCAGGAGGATTGCTTAAGCCCAGGTGTTTGAGGCTGCACTGAGCTATGATCATGCCACTGCACTCCAGCCTAGGCAACACAGTGAGACCCAATGTCTTAAAAATACACATTTATCTGATTCCCCGAAAATTAGGATGAGCAATACTACCTCATTTTATGGAGAAACACCCATATTCTATTCTATTGGCTATTTGATATTTAACAGAGAATGTACTGATTGATACTGCTGTGTAATAAACCACCCCAAAATATGGTGGCTTAAAACAACTCCATTTCTTATTTCTCACAAGATGCCTATGGATCAGCTTGTTGGTTCTACTGTTATGGGCTGGACCCTGTTGATCTCAGCTGAACTTCTGAATGTGTAAGCGGTTATCTGGTGGACTGGCTGGGAGCTGGCTAGGCAACGATAACTTCTGGTGCCAAAAAAAAAAAAAAAAAAATTCCTTCACGTGTCTTGTATAGTATATATCTGCAGAAGACCAGCAGCATATATTTTCTTGGCTGTAGCAAGGGTTCAAGAAAGGAAGCAGTAAGCAGTTTTTTTAAGTTTTGTTTGTTTGTTTGTTTTTTGTTTTTTGCTTCAAGTTTGCTGCTGTCCTCTTTTGCCATATTATTGAGCCTGGAGTCTGAGTGGGAGAGGACTGCAGAGTTACTGGGCAGAAGGAAACCATTGATTGAGGCCATTACTGCAATCGACCCACCGCCAATAAAAAGCATGGTGGAGAGGGCTTGACACAGACACAAAACATAAAGGAAGTGGGTGAAAGGAAGGAAAGAGATGGAGAAAAAAATAAAAATGAAAGATGGCTGGGCAAGGGAAGAAGAGATGGGGAAGAGAGATAGAAAAGTTGGAATGCGGCCGGGTGCAGTGGCTCACGCCTGTAATCCCAGCAATTTGGGAGGCCGAAGTGGGCGGATCACCTGAGGTCAGGAGTTCAAGGCCATCCTGACCAATATGGAGAAACCGCGTCTCTATTAAAAATACAAAGTTAGCTGCGCACGGTGTCAAATGCCTGTAATCTCAGCTACTCAGGAGGCTGAAGCAGGAGAATCAGTTGAACCCAGGAGGTGGTGAGCCGAGATTGCACCACGTCACTCCAGCCTGGGCAACAAGAGTGAAAGTCGAGAGAAAGGAAAGAAAGAAAGAAAGAAAGAAAGAAAGAAAGAAAGAAAGAAAGAAAGAAAGAGAGAAAGAGAGAAAGAGAGAAAGAGAGAAAGAGAGAGAGAGAGAGAAAGAGAGAAAGAGAGAAAGAGAGAAAGAGGGGGGGGAGGGAGGGAGGAAGGAGGGAGGGAAGGAGGGAAAGAAGAAAGGAAGGGAAAGTGGAATGCATAATCTGAAGAGAGGAGAATGCTTCTGGGAGGGCTGCAGGAACCAAGACATGTGACTTAAAAAACAAGCTCTGAAATAAACATGTACTATGAATAATGATATAATAGGATTTTCCAATTGATAGCAGTATAAACTCAAGTACTGCTGTGGGTATGGGAAAAGAAGACATATAATAAATTACCACGGAATTATCTGGTAAAGCCTTTTGCAACTTGCAGAGGAAAACTGAACTCATAAATGTTGGAGAAGGGGGTCAAATGACAAATGACAGGAACAGTGGCATTTATATGATGGTAATAATAGATGCTTGCTTCTGTTAATAGATGCTGCTTAAAAATGAGATGACCATGTCTTATTAGGATACAAAAATAAATAAGTGAATTGGAATTTTTCCCTATGCTTTTCCATCTTCTTGTATGCTTTAACTGTAAGTCTGTATTAAATACAAATTACTTTCATATCAGAGTCCTCAACATGGGATGTAAGACTGGGAAACAGTATAATGCTCAATAAGAAAGGGGATTTCACATATTGATACTGAATTTAGATTAGTAAATCAGTAAATAAAGTATATCAGCCAGACGCAGTAGCTCACAGCTGCAATCCAGCACTTTGGGAGGCAGAGGTGGGTGGATCACTTGAGGCCAGGAGTTCCAGACCAGCCTGACCAACATGGTGAAACCCCATCTCCATTAAAAATACAAAAAAAAAAAATCTAGCTGGGTGTGGTGACGCATGCCTGTAATCCCAGCTATTTGGGAGACTGAGGCATGAGAATAGCTTGAACCTGGGAGGCAGAGGTTACACTCCAGCCTGGGAGATGGAGTGAGACTGTCTCAAAAATAAAAAATAAAAAATAAAGTACATCAGACTGGGATATAAATCTTGATTTTGTTTTGCTTGTTTTGTGTGTTTCTGTTATCCAAATGCAGAAGACTAATTTATATTGGTAAAGAATTGAGCATACTGACACAAAATTGGCAAACACTTTAACGTTGTTTAAGAGAGACCTGAAATAGTACATTAAGGGAAAATGTCATCTTCTATTTACTTGTTTCAAGGTATTTCCACAAATTCCAAGAGCAAAGAACTTTTTTCTTAATTTGTCCACTTCAACAAAATAGCCCTTTTCACAGTTTCATGAGGTCTTGGTCAAAAATAAGTCAGAGTTTTTATTATATATTATATTATATTATATTATATTATATTATATTATATTATATATTCTCTCCAACTTACTATATATTCTCTCCAACTTATCCCCTTCTTATTGTTATGCTGTTTATTATGGCTTATACAGCAATATCTGATCTAACATATTATTTAATGAATTACCCACAGATGGCCCAAAATCTGCTTATTCTGCCTAAAGACGTTTTTGCTGCATTTACTCTTTTCTTTTACTGTCCTGTTTCTTTGTTTATTGAAGATGGTTTCATTCCCATTTTTGTTTCTATAAAACTGATAATAAAGAGAGTAATCATATCTCCAGTGAATCTTTTCTGAATCTGGAAAAATGGACCCCAAGGGTTCATGTCATTTATAACTCTCATATCATTTTTCATATATTCTCAATGTATCGTATTTTTTAACTGTAAATATTAGAAATGTCTGTCGTATTCTGATCTTGGTTTCATTGAGATTCAAATACAAGAACTGTCACACTGAGATGACCATAAGAGCTTAGAAGTCTTTCACAGTAGTTTCAAACAAAATGGTGAAATGATTGCCAAATTTAATTAGATATTAATCAATGATGATATTGTCAAATGTATATTTAACAGTGCATTTATTTGTTTTTCTCTAGGTTTTATACCTATAAGACTGCTTATAAACAAAGATTTTCTAAAATTCTATAAAAACAAATATACAATGAAGTTTTTGTTGGAAAACAAAGAGTAAGAGGTGAACCTCTGTTTCCAAAATTATAGCCAGCACTAAATGCATTCATGATGTGCCTATATGTGTGATAAGTTTGCAGCATCTAGCATCAATTATGTTCTCTGATAATCTATTACTTTCAACATCAAGTAGCCATCTTTAGAACCAGGAACTATCTGTCTCTTCTATTCATTCAATAGCACTAAACCGATGTAATTTTTTGGTTTTGTATGTCCCTCTTTTCTAATACTTTGGGCTCCCTCTCTAGTCTTTTATCTCCTTCCCATGGTTTTGTCCATGAAACAAGAGGATCCTACTACCTTTCTTCCCTATAAGAAATTCAGATCTAACATGTAGCAACCTGCTTTTTTTTTTTTTTTTTTTTTTCCAGATTCCTGTCTTGGTCACACAGATAAGTTCAACCAATCATCCAGTGAAAGTTGGACTGTCCGATGCATTTGTCGTTGTCCACAGGATCCAACAAATTCCCAGTACGTAGAAGAAGGGCAGTCACAATGAGTGAGCCTCCGTGGGGGTAAATTTAAAGGAGATTGATCTCAGGCAGATGTACTTAAAGAAAAATGCTTGTTAATTCTGTGGTTTGGTTTATAACTCCTATTGGGTTATCTCTGTCACCCTTGAACTGACTCAGGTAAAAAAAAATTAAATAGCCAAGCCAAGAATGTGTAATTTTGGATTATTTTTCTTGTTTCTTTTTCCTGTCTTCTGATTTGGGGTCTTACTCTGTCACCCAGGCTGGAGTGTGGTGGTGCAGTCACAACTCACTGCAGCCTTGACCTCACAAGCTCAAATGATCCTCCTGCCTCAGCATCTTGAGTAGCTTGGACCACAGACATGTGCCACCATCCTCGGCTGTTTATTATTGTTGTTGTTATTATTATTTGAAGAAATGAGATCTTGCTATGTTGCCCAGGTTGGTCTTGAACTCCCGAGCTCAAGTGGTCCTACTGCCTCAGCCCCCAATGTGCTGAGATTACATATGTGAGCCACTGTGCCCAGCCAGATTATTTGTGGTAGTTGGCTTGGCTAAGCAGATAGAGTTCTTTTATTAATAAGAATGACATAAACAGTGACAGATTATTGGATTGATAGACATATGACTTTTATGTATGTTTATCTTAAGTTTCTGAACAAAACCACAGCTTTGTGCTATCTTATATTTAATGTATTTGTGTAAAACTGGGAGTCTAAAGGAAGATGCAAGAAAAAGTACAAATTAAATTTTTTAAAAAGTACAAAGTAAATAAAAATCTGGATGGAGCTATACTTACCACCAGAGAAAATATGTATTTTCTTTAAATTATTGTTGCCTATCTAGTCTAGTTTACATTTTATGGAATAAAAATGGATGTGTTACTTTGGATAACTATTTGTTATAGCAGAAACTAAAATGCTAACTGAATTAGCCATTCTGACCCTATAAATAGGCATCTGTTGAAAGCTTCTGGGTTTTGAATCTCCTTCACTCCAAGAACAGTCCTGAGAGATGCTTTGGTGTGGTAGTAAGCGAAGTTGGGGTGGGAGTGTTTGTGTCCTACGTGTTCTTATTTAAGGAAAGGGGAGATAATAAAATATATCTCAAGATGAGATCATTTTTTCTCTTTTGTTCAAAGTTCTTTTTCTTCTTTTATTTGATTACAGTGGTAGATAATTTATCACATGCTCATGTTCTTTGGTTGTGACTTGAGGTGATTGTAGTTAATGATGCCAACTCTCAAATATAGACAGCAACTGGAGTGGAAGCTATACTTTTTAAAGCAATGGATCAGCAGAAGCATTATAGGGGTTATCTTACCACTGTGAGATATCTTAGAACTGAATGCTTATCTTACAACTAAATGGCATTGATACATGGTGGTTCTGCTTGGTGAAGAACATGGAGTTTCTCCTTGTTAGCTGAGAATTTGTGGGAGGCAATATTCAAGGGAATTGTTAAATCAAAGCAGGTTTTCCAGAAACTAAATTGTACTGTGAACAAAGCAAGGATACATGAGTATGTGTAGGCAACATAAAGGCATCCTGACAGAGCTCTTAAATAAGAGGCCGAGCCCTGGGACAGCTAAAGTTGGTTTCTGTCTGAGGACGGCCGTTCTCACATTCTTTCTTTCGGAGTTGTTAAATCAAGCATGGTTTGAGTCAATTATTGCACAAGTAAAAAGAAACACTAGTTTTAGTTTATTTGTTGGTTCTTTTTTTTTTTATTGCCGGAAAAAAATTATTTGCAGCTTACTCAGCAGGGCTTTTAGTGCATATTGTTGTTCTAATATAATATTGCTTAAAAAAAAATTCCAACCAAAATACCAAAAATTTTTCTTACAAATGTATTTTAATATGCAAGTATTATGTTGGTATATTCCCAATGTTAAAATTGTACTTTGATATTCCCAATGTTAAAATTGTACTTAGATATCAGGGCCCTAAAGTATAATTTTGCGTCCCTTGTTAGGCTGTCAAAGGATAACTATTATGTATTGGCGGAAAATATTTTCAAATACAAATCTCATTTAATAAATTGGCAAAATTTGTATGAATTTTCAGACCAGATTATGTCTAAAGTTTGGGACTCAGCAGTTATCCAAAAGAACTTAATTCAAACTTAGAGTTCAGAGAAAAATGTCCCTCAGACAATTTGCATACTGAAAAGCAGTCACATTTTCTGTTAACCTTACTGTTCCATCCTGAGAAAATTAGCCAAGAAGGAATGAAAGATTTGGGTCTCTAGTTCTGCCATTGTTGTGTTAGATTGGACCATATTTATGCAAGAAAATTGGAATCAGTATGTTCTACTTAAAAATCATTTGGGAACAAAAAACTTTATCTCCTTAAAAGTCTCTCCCGCATTTGTAAAGTATAACTGTGTCTGTTACATGAGCTTCTATATAACGAGAGATATATAGTTGCATTGTATTCTCAGCTAACAAAAAGCGCATCTTTATGCCAGAGATTAGGATAACTCAAGATTACCACAACGCAGGTTATACAAGTACAGTTCTTTTGTGAGAAATAAGTTGATTCCTACAGACCTATGTTACATATTCAGCAATCAGCGTTTAGACCGATATAAGTCCTTTTAAAAATTCAGTTCCCTTATTTAGCAACACTCACTATTAGGAATTGTCTTTGTAGGGAATTTAAATACTTTGCCTCTGTTAACATTTCTCCCCCCACCAAGTGGATTTAGGCAACAACTGATTATTATCCCGAGTAGTGAGTAGTTTCATTTCTTCTGCATTGCAAGGTGTGTTACATAGAACCCTGTTCTCATAAGATCAATTTTCTATTCTGTTAATCATTTTGGTTACACAGGTTATATTACCTAAACCTCTGGCTTCATGTAGCCATGGGAACATGGGAATGTGAGCTAAAGCCTGGAAAAGAGTATTTCCCAGTAGATCATCATTACTATACCATTCTTATCAGATTTGGTGAAGGTTTGGTAAAGCATTCAAAATGCTGTAAAGCAATTTTAATTTATTTATTATTAAAATTTCTCCCCATTCATTCTTCCTCACAACAACAAAACACTTGCTTTTCAGTTTTTAAAGACCCCCAAATAGTAAATAATTTCAATGTAAATTTCAAGTGTAATTAATTAAAGCAACTTTATTTTCTTTCATAAAAGACCAGGTGATCTGATAGTTTCAATATCAAAGGGAATTCAGGCATTGTTAGTAAATTGATAAATCCCTCTGAGTTTACAAGAGAAATACCTTTGCCCCCTCAAAATGAGAGGGAAAGGTCTGTGGTAAAACTAAGGCTTATGTTTAAAAAGGTGGAAATTAAAAGTAAAGAAAGTATAAGAAATATTGTCATTTGATTATTGGTCATGAAACGTTAAACTTTTATTTAATTTCTGTAACGTTCTTTCTATATAAAATGAGCATCTTAGTACCTAAAATGCCATGTATACACAGCATGCATTACCTAGCAGAGAGTATATAGTATACTTGTACTTAAAGTTACTGATTTTTCCATCATCATTGTCACCTTTAAAAACAGCGATACTAACTTAGATGTCACTGCCAAGTCCGGGTGCCCATTAGAGTGGAACCACAGGAGATTCCCACTGAGAAACACAGTGACAGTGTCTCTCTGGAACTTCAATGCTTTCTGACTACGTGGTTGTGTGTTGCTTTATGTCTCTTCCGTAAAATGTATTTGTAAAACTTTAGAAACAGAAAGAACCATAGAGATCAGCTAATTCAATATCCACAGGTACAGCTACAGAAAAACAGGTCTAAGTACAGGACTGACTTTGGTTGTTCCTTTCAGAAATACGAATGTAAAAATATACTTATTATGATTAGAAGCATAGCACATTATAATTCTGAGTAATTTGTAAATTAACAGGAACCCCAAGGAGGAAAATTTAAATTACCTAGAAATCTGCTACAGAGAAATCGCAATAAATGTTTTCACGTATCTGTATCCAACTATTTATTTGTAATATACATGTATATGAACATACACACACATTAAGAAAGTTGGCATTATGCTGTAAATAATTCTGCCCCCTGTTTTCACCTTCATATATAAAACATATTTTACACTGTTAAATATCTGTCCGAAATGTCATTAATAGCTATAACAAATTTCTTTGTTTCATAATTTATGTAACCTGTCACTAAAGAGGTTGGTTACATAGTTTGCATCTCATATTATCAGTAAAATGGTGCTAAATATCCTTGTTTTTACATTTTTGCATGTAGCTGATTCTGAAAAAGTGAATTTGTAGATGCTGAATGTTAATATTGTTTTGAATGTATTTTGACACATTGCTTCCATCAAGATTGAACCAGTTTACTACCCATCGTTATGTTAGAAATATCCCATTTCCCAAAGTGCTTTCTAATATTCATTCTTAACTCTGCAAATTTGATAAGCACAAAATAGTATTTCATTGTTGCTCTAATTGTCTTTCAATTACCAGAAAGTTTTAACACTGTCATATATTCCTCTCATTTGTAATTTCCACAAGTTCTTGGTAAATAGCTCTGTTAAGTAATTCTTTCTCAGCCTCAGCTTATGTCCTTCCACATCCTTACACAACATGCAGAGGTCTTCCTGAATACACGCGCAATTCTCACTAGTGCCACTTGCACTAGTTTGTTTCTCTCTCCTCCAATGTAACACTTTGAATTTCAATCATAATCTCTGGGGTGCTGACTTACCCCATTGGGCCTCACTGTTTCTCTACCTTCCGAGCTTAATGAGTCTAATCTTCCCAGCAAGAAACTCGGAAAATCCACTCATGCCATGTGGTTCTTTAATCTGGAAAAGATAAGGCCATGCCATTTAAGTGAAGAGAAAGTTACGTTAACACACAAATGCAGGGCCTTGTACCAATCCGGAAAGCAGCTGACCTCACTTAAAATGCTTCTACTCCAAGTTATGACAGTGACTATGTCTGAATCCCTTAGAATATTCCTTTATTTTTCTCACTCACAGTATATTATTTGGTACTTTCTTA